GACATCCAAATGCAGAACAGTCCAACATGCAACGACACATCCACAATGCCAGACATCCAACAATGCCAGTACAATCCAAAATGCAGACATCAAATGCAGACATACCAAGATGCAAGGACATCACAAGAAGAGCACGACATCCAAATGACAGACATCCAAAACTGCAAGACACTCCAAAATGCTGACATCCAATGCAGACACCAAACGCAGACATCCGAAACGCAGAACCAACGCAGACATCCAACGCAGACATCCCAACGCAAGCATCCAAACGCGACATCCAACGACAGATAATCGCAAAACAGCAGACCATACCAAACACGCAGACATCCCAAAAACGCAGACATCACAAACGCAGACATACCGAGAGAACGACAGACATCCAAATGCAGCAATCCAAAAGGCGACAGTCCAAAATGCAGAACTGCCAAATGCAATGACATCCAAATGACCAGACATCCAAACTGCAGACAATCCAAATCGCAGACATCAAAAAGCAGACATCACAAATGCAGAAAGCATCCAATGCAGACATCCAAGATGCAAGAACAATCCAAATGCGACATCCCAACAAGCAGACGATCCAACATCAGACATCCAAAAGCAGATCATCAAATGCAAGACATCCAATGCAACAATCAAATGCAGACATCGCAATGCCAGACATGCCAACTGGCCAGGACAATCCCAAATGCAGACATCCAACAATGCAGACATCCAAACTGCAGCACATCCAAAAATGCAGACATCCAAATGCAGACATCCAACATTGCCAACACTCCACAGGCAAGACATCCAAATGCAGACCATCACAAATGCAGACATACAATCGCAGACATACAAAACTTGCAAAGGGGGAACATAACAAATGCAGACATATACAAAATGCAAGCATACAAATGCAGACTGATTACAAATGCACTACAATGCAGCATTACCAAATCCAAATATCTCCAAAGAAAACCCTTAGATAAAATGTTCGCTAAAATTCTTGAGAAATGACACCCGTGACTGCACAATCGAAAATCATTATCCATCCGCCAGTTCGTCTATAACTCATATTCTCCCAGTTGATTTTCACTTTCCCCCATGATAGAAAAATCTTACTTATTCTCACCCATAACGTCAGGGAGCAACCGCTCCGCTAACTGAAAACGGACATGGAACAAGAGAGACGGAGGAGGGTATAATCTTCTGTAGGCCGCCACTCACATTAAAGGACGAGGGAATTGGGAGCCTGCGCACAGAAAGATATTAACAAGGACTAAGTTTGCAGGGTGACGTTGAGCTTGCGAGCGATGCGAAAGGCGCTGATGAACAGACATCGGGGAAGAGCAACGGTTCAAAACGGTGAGGCACGCAGATTAAATGGTATGTGACGCAACACCAGGTCCAGTTGCTAATAAAACATAACTGCAATTCAATATTTGAACTAGTGGCCCGGCAGCAGCAAAATGCGTCGACCCCAAAAATAATCAAAACTACTTTCTAAATATAGCACGCACACGGCTAAAAAGTTACTACAACATAAAATTCTTGAATAGAACAACATGCAATAAATAAAAATATACGCTCTAAACACGAAAGAATCTTCACATGAATACCGTAACTAATAGAAGAGTATTTATGACCGAACATCAGTTCTTATCTTCAAATGTAACAATAAGGCAGCAGTTCTATATCACACATGTGATCTAGCAGAAAATAAGAGACCGCACCAGAAAGCGGTTTTTTTGGAGTCCCAGATATAAACGAAAGTACTCCACCCCCTCGAATGAAAAATCCGACAAATAACTATACTTGCCTTGCGGCTTGTTTCCTCTTCCCAGTTTCTCCCGGAACGGGTTCGTCTCAATCGGTTAATGGATATGTCTACCGAAATATATTTGTTTGTAGCCCACATTTATGTTGTGAGATGAAAAGGACGAAAAATGAGAAAGGGTAGATCACGTGAGGCCCATAGTCTGTTTGTTAGATTCTTATCCGGCATTGCCAGGTATATATATGAGAAAATCACGAAAATCTATTAGAGTAGCGCGCCCATTAAATATTCTCCTACAGACAAGCGGTTGAATTCGATACAGCTACTAGATATGTGTCGAAAAATCCGCGCCACCGTCGGGTTAACCCCAAGGGCCTCCAGGTCAATAATGCTGCAGAGGAAATGCACATTGCCGCTGAGATACAAGGCACAGGACACGACGCTTGACACGACAGCATTGGACACTTGACTTACAAATTACCTTTCGTACAGGCTAAATAAAATAACTATGTCGTGGTTGTTTTGTTGCACTGCAAACTATTCTCCGGTCAAGCGTCGTTTGGCTGCCGGGCGGGCAGGGCGATGCAGGAGGGAGCCTGGAGGGGTGGTGGGTGGGAGGGCAGGAAGAGTGAGATGGAGCTGGGAGGAGCTGGGCGCTGCGCATTCGCAAGCGAAGACACCGGCTGCGGCGCTGGGCGCCTGGGCAGCAGCGAAGTGTGCTTACGGGTGGCGGAGGGGGGAGGGGGAGTCGGAGTCCTCGCGAGCCTCCACGCTTCGCGCCCTCGACGCGGCCGCGACAAAGGTCGCTGCTCCGCCGCGCCGCCCGCAGAGGCGGGGGGGACCCGCCGGCCCTTTCGGCGCTCGCCTCCCATCCCCGCCACCCCCACCACCCCCCCACTCACCGGCCCGCGGACGCGGCCTCCTGAGATGCCGCGGGCGGGCGGGTGCTGGCCCCGCTGACTTGTTGCCGGCGCTCAAAGCCGGGCAAAACTGGATCTTCTCCGTGGAAATTTTGACTAATTTAGCTATTTCGTCCAATATCAATGTCTCAACAACTCTTTGGTAATTAAGTGGTACATTAGTAACTCAAATTCAGAATACTTTGGGCTTTCAAAAGACATAATCATTTCTCCTATTCAATGAATTAAAAGAGTATCTTCTTCTTGGTTGTGTGCATACAAGTTTTGAAGACCTTCTTAAGAAAAGGTATTGACATTTATAAATAGGAGCATGTTGTGACGTAAGTTGAAAAAGTCTGATATTTTCTTGCTTCGAGAAAAATATAAGTTGTTTTATTGTGAGGAGATTCATTTGTATAATGAAAGGGAATCGAGTTTTTTTCTTGACATATTATGAGTTACGTGTATAATTATTCTTCATGCAGTCCCAGTCATATACTATTTTGCATTTTAAATATGCTTAATAATATGCAATTTTCGGATATCCTGTTGAAGGATAGTTTCTGGAGTACTTTCCCAACTCGCACACGCAAACAAACATTAATGATGAAGGTGCGTATTCTTTACTCGTACCCTTCTAAATCATCTATCACTTTCTGAAATTAGAAAGCACAGAGGCCATCAATTATTCTCGTGACAAACATTTTTCGTTTAATTTTATATTCGTCTTTTTGGAACAGCGTCTTTTTTTTCATTCTTTATTCTACACAAAATTGTTATGATGGGATGATTCTCATCGCTCGTATCTTTAAAAAATACAGCTTCACAGGATGATGAACTTTTAAGATTAGAAACGACGTACCAACATCTTACAAGGACATTCAGCATACCTTCTTAATCTGAAGCAGTTTTACACGTGCGTGTTTATTTGTATACGCGAGTTCAAGAACACTACTACTGTCCAAACACTTAATCCTCAGTTTTGGCATTCAGTACATGCGGCGTACATCGTTGTTCAGTGTTGGACCTTGAGCACTCCAAAGATTCTTATTGGATTCCTGTGATACTTAGAAAACGATGAATCATTTTTCAAGTCCTTTTGATGCATTCTTTTTTCTCTCTCGAGACTGACGTACGCAAAATTTCGTCTTTACATAGTTTAAAAAAGTAATGTTGTTTCACGTGAGAAATGGTCGGAGCACTTAATGATTAATTATTGGATTTGTGTGTAGTTAAAAGGATGCTTACTTCATGAAGATTTATTAGAAAATAGGTGTAGTATTACAGTTATCAAGAAAGTTACATCAATAACAACGTAGGCATGGATTGAAATATTGGTTCAATTACACTTTTCAAAATTATTATTATTATTATTATTATTATTATTATTATGGTTGTTTTTGTTGTTGCCTAAAAAGAATATATTCAGTAAAAGTATTTATTTGATAATTTTAATGTACTCTTCTTCTTGGAACTCGATAGTTCGCCTACTTATTTCTGACCTTCTTGCATTTTCATTCTTTTAATTGTGCATCTGTTCTTGTAGCATCCTGAGTTACCAGGGCATTTTAGCCATTACTAAATATGACTGGACGGGTTCATGAGTTTGATCGCAGGATCTAATGCACAATCACGTAGGCAACCTAGAGCACAATGTAATAGACAACCTGGTTCATAACCTAATGCACAGTGTAATGTACAATCAAGTAAACAGTCTGCCCAACTTAGCAAACAATCGGTGTACAACCTAATAAACAATATAGTGCACACCCTAATACACAAAGTAGTGCATGGTAGCTGTAAGTTTGTCATACGTGTGGTGCAAAAAACACATCAGCGCCTTATAACTCCCACATAACATGGTGGAAACCATTACGGCGGCGCGCTCTGCTTTAGCACCTTCTTTCAGGAACTAAAACACGAACTGCTGCCCACGATACTTAAACGGTCGTGGCTTCTGCGTGAGTCCGCGGGTCGCAAGCAGGCCTGTAATGTTACAAAAGATAACGTCTATGTTCGCGCTTTCTTCAGAGGTTTCTTATAAGTATAGATTATGAATAATTGAACATTTAGAAGACACTTTTCGTATTTATCACAAATTAGCTAATTTTTATGTGCGGAAGTTGACGCCCCTATCCTGCAGCCGCACTAGGCGACCCTCGAGTAGCACCCTCGAGCTTTGTCCCCTGTTCCGCTGGAGAGTTGCAAGGCCCCGGAACAAACGATGTTCATTGCGACGTTTGTCGTTTGCAGCGGCGCGGCCGACGCAGGTGTGCTACAGCGACGCGCACTGCCGCCTGTGGGACGCCGACACGCACTGCGACTTCCTCATCCCGAAGCTGTTCGGCCGCTGCCGCTGCTCGGCGCCGCTGCGCCAGGTGGGCGAGGCGTGCGTCCCGCCGCCCGAGGACCTGCTGCCCAGCGGGGAGGCGGCCGCGCTGCCCTCCGCTTCCGCTGCCGCTGCCGCTTCCTCCTCCCCGTCGTCGCTGTCGTCGTCGACGGCGCCCTTGGTCCCTGCCCCGCCCAGCACCGAAGCCCCCCAGCCGGCCCCGCCCTCGCCCGCCTCCACCGCCCCGCCCACCGTCACCAACGAGCTGGACAACAACGTGCCGCAGGGACCTGTCGAGGTAACTGTGATACTATTTATTTCGTTCTTTTCTTTTAAATTAATTTATTCATCCTTGTTCGATAATACTTTCAAGCGGTTGAAGAAACTACGATAACAATGAGGGGAAAACTTACAGAAGTATCTAAAGTAATAATAAACGTTTAAAATTTATGAATATTATACTTCATTTTTAAGAAGAAAAAATGAGATAATTATGGAGGTTGTAGAAAGCCTTTAGCAAATTAAGTAACGAATATTTATTTCGTGAGAAAGTCTTGGTTTACAATAAACATTGAATATCGTTTCCTTCAATGGGCGAAATATCATTTCAACTAGAATAGAATACAATGCCCTGAAAAATATTATCGTATTGAAATATAATTATGATTGTTGTATTTGATTATTACAAGTTTCCACGTGATTTGTAATGTTTGATAATTGTTTTATTTGAATACTATTCTCATTGTCTCAGCTGAGAAGCTAGTTGGATGTAACGAAAAAAAAACATGCCTCTTCTCTGATTGTTGTGAACCGTGAGATGTTAAAAATAAAACATATTGTAGAAACAATTCCGAGCAAGGAGAGGAAGAATAGAGAATAAGAATTTTTTATTGAGTTTATTAGCTGGTGAAATGTAAATGTGGATGTTTTTCCGTTGTAGAGTTGGTTGCTTAATTCCATACTTTGCAATTTATAGATCAAAATATCCAATAATAATCCATTTCTTTATGAAAGTACATATTTGGCGTAATCAGACTGGACATTGTAATAAAAACCTTCAAAAAGAAGTCATGTACTGTTATAAAAATTAACAACTGATGTAACGACTGGAAGATTGTTCTATCGATTTTTAAGAAATTGAGTACTTGAATTTTGTAAAGTTTACCTAATTTAAATGTACATATTTAAATGCCCCCTTTTTATGTAAAATATCAATTTCACTATTAACATAATTATAATATACAATTGTTAATGTTAATACTAAAACACAACTGTTATGGTTATGCTTGTCACTAAATAAGCAATATTTAAAGAATTATATTTCCATTTCAATTATATTAAGGGAAAATATAATTCGGCTGTTGTCATTTTATACTAACTCATGCAACTCATAAAATGGGAATCCCTACGACCCAAATTCATAGCAATGATAATGAACCACCCACATCGATACAACGATAAAACTCGTTCTATTAAAGAGCACAATTTATTCACGAAGCTAAAATACTTTATCACGAAAATTTCCAATGGGATCAGTATTATCTATATCGCATCCAAATTACTCCCCCCACCACTCAGAGTTGTTACATTCACTGCATCAGAGCGCCAATATCGTTAGTGATACCAGTATAAAGTTAATTTGTCATTTCTGACTCATTGGGTTGTAAAACAGATGAAATTACAGAGTCCAGGCTTTCCTGTTCCCAGTAATGCACAATCTATAATGATAACGATGTGTAATTTATCTACTTGACAGTTTTTAAAAATTAGATCTCCGAAACCGACTTGATAATGATTAATACATGCCCAACACGTGAATAGATGTTTGCATCAAGTTGAAATTAAAGCAGTGACATTCATTAAACGCCCCGACGTGAAGTGTTGCTACAGTGTTGGCAGTTATTGTTTCACGAGAGCTGCTTTGCGTTATGTTCCGCAGGACAGCAGCCATGGCGCGACGGCACAAGACACAGAGAACAGCGTGGATGAGATCGAGCAGCGACCGACGCCTTTCGCCCCAGCAGCAGTCGCCACATCCACATCCACATCCACATACGCACCGCCACCCGCAAGTATCAGGTAAATATTACAAAAACTGTTAAGATACAAGAACTTAAAATAAATCTATCTCAGAGTGAAGTTACAATAAATGCTGGTCATTCTTACAAAGAATATTGTTCCTATGACAAGGATATATTTTATATAAGCTACAGGTTGCATCGGGAAATCCAATTAACGGTGAGCCAAGTAAACGTAGCGACAACCATTGTCGTATTTGGCTATTTCGAAGAAACAAAAAAGGGATGCCTTGTACATATCGGGCGAACTCACGTAAGTCTGATTAATTCCCCGTATGTTGCAGCTTGCACCTCAATCGTGCTTTGACTTCGTGATAAATAAATCACTACCAATAAAATCAGTGTTAGTTCCTGCACGGTGGTTATGTCAGCGATGGTAAATTCCATGATATTTTCTGTATAGGTAAAAGTATGCACCCTGTAGACAATACTGGACATTAAAATCATATTTTAAGAAAAATAAATCATCTATCTTTACTTCAAATTTTGTAAATAATTTAGTCAGGAACCTTTCTTTAAAAAAGTCTTGAAATAAATCATTAGGCATGAAATATATTCATGCCTAATAATTTCTTCCCAAGCATTAACATAAATTTGTCCTATCACCTGACAATATTTGTCTTTCCTAAGTTTCAGCGACACACATTTGTTAGTCATTCTAATATGAATATAGAACTCTACTAATAAATATAAAATACATTTTGAAAGATTTTGGTTTTATTTTCTGGATGGAAACCAAACAGCTGCTCACTCTCAATAAAACAGACAAACATTGAAATCTTATCCATATTTGCAGAGAATGATGAGCACTAATTTTTATGTGTCTGTACGTATCTGTATTAGAATTAAGGCATTGTCGACAATGGATGATCTAAAGTCCTCAGAATTGAATTAAGTACAGTGGAATCTCGCAAATCCGAACTCCACATCCGGAATTCGGATAATCCGAACACAATTGGGGATGGAAAGAAAAATAAAATAAAATGCTTATATTTGAGTGAAAGGAAAAGACTATATAATACCTACTGAACGAACAACTAATTATTGAAAAACACCCAAGTTCTCGAAATAAAAACGTTATTGCACTGGGTAGCTACGATATATTCCCATGTTTACTCGTATGTAGCAAATGATTCAATTTTAGAGAAACTAGCAAAAATTGGTAATATTTACCTAAAAGAACTAATATGCTTGACGGATGCAATGTGATTGATGAAGATCACCTATGCTACGTTAACATTTTTCTTCACATCGCATGCTACGTGCATAGTCCTGTAATTGTGAATATGTATTTGTGTATATTATATAAGTACATTTTTTCGCATAATCCGAACATTTCCGAATCCGAAACAACTTACAACCCCCATTAGTTCGCGATTACTGGGGTTTCAACTATACTCATTTCATGCATTTTTACTTACAACTTCAATGCGAAAGAAGTTAATTTAAGGAAGTGGATATGTCTAGAATACCAAGCAAATTTATAAAAACACTGCTGAGTAAAATACACCAAGAACTCATGCAATGGGCGCTTTTTGGCATCAGGCTTAACATTACAGCCAGTTCTGAACATTATCATTACACGACGGTAAAGGAATAATCTGCATTCCTAAAATCACTGCAACCCTCAGTCACTCTTCCATCTTTAGTAGTGTTTCTCAGATTCTGTATTCTCTTTCAACATCACTGACAACGGGTTTACCGTCTTACATTTTACAATTCCACATCAATTGACGGCAATCCCACCACCATCCAATCCGTGTCGTCCTGGGGCAAACGATGTGGCCTCTCTCATAAACGCAAGATACATTTCTGGCCTGACGAGATGAAATAAGATAAAAGTTAAAGATGAAGTGTGAGGCAGAAATGATAGATGAGAGGAATCCACCGATGCATAGAGCCGACCATGTGCTAACATGCTCTCTGCCACATACGAGAAAATCTTTCGCTGAAGATGGATGGGAAGATTATGGATCAATTAGGGAAAAAAATGGCAGAGGAAACGAACATCTGCCGCCATTATTTTTCCACCACAAATTCACTTATCATCAGGAAAAGCGAATCCTTGGATTTCATCAATCGGTGAGCCAATGCGTGTGCTACATTGTATCACAAAATGTACGCAAGTTTTTTACTCTTACATTTACTCATTCACCACATTCACTATGCACAATTCACTCATACATTCATTTACCATCATTCGTACATTAATTTACTCACTCATTCATGTCCTTCACTCTTTATTCCACGCATCGTCCATCACTCATTCATCACTACGTATTACGACTTACTCATCACACATTCATTCATTCATTTTCATTCATTCATTCATTCATTCACTCGCTCGCTGCCTCACCTGGAAGGTGCCCGGTGAACCCGTGCGCTGAGCGGAGCAGGTGCGTTTGGCGAGCGCGCAGTCGCACACTCCGCCCGCCGCGCGAGTGCGGTCGGCCGCCCGCGCACTCGGACGTCGCGCGTGCACATGGCCCAGGGTGACCGGCCCGCCCCGCCCCGCCGCCGCCGCCGCCGCCGCCGCTGCCTCCGCTTCCGCCTCCGCCGCCTCCTCGGGCGCGCCGCACCGGCGACTCTGCAACAGCCACCGCAACCACTGCTCAACGCACGCTACTGGTAACCAAGACGTTGAAAGGAAGAGGAAACGAAATAGGATTCTACTTCAACACAACCACCGGCCTCAACGCAAGTACAAAGGGGTTAAAAGAAAGAAAGGGGAAACTCAGACCACTGACACAGCCTCACGACATTGGACGCAATTCCAAACACTATGGATGGAGGCTAATCGTTGTAGGATAACGAAATCGCATACCAATGCCATGTCGCTACCAAGAAGAACATTCAAACTAGGGGTCAACGCCGCAAACTACCCAGCAAAATGCTAACATTATTGAAGGATTTTTATATTAAAGAACTAATGTTACATTATTTTTAAACAAACTTTACTGTTTCTGCAAGTTTGCGTTAAAAATGTTCAGTTTTTTTAGCTATGTCAGGGGATAAATATTTCAAACATTAAAAACACTATTTTAACGTGTTTTTGTGACTGCAGAGAAAGACGGGTTCCACGAGGCGATTACGCGTGACGTTTAAATATTGTTATTTAGATTGTTAGTTTGAAAGTTTTGAAATTCATTTAGGGTTACAGAATCGTTTTGATAGTAAAAGTTCTAAAATGATGAAACAGTTAAACCCCGACCAAACAAAAGATGGATTAAAAAACTTACGCTGGATCAGTCGTTGACTTCCTCCCTCATAAAGCCACACGTTTATAGCCCATCTATATTATACACACATTGCAAAATACAAATATTAGATTCACATGACGTTAAGATAACTATGGTGGATACTATAATCTGGAGTTCTTCAAAGTGTTGAGGAATTAAACTATTCTCGCAATTAAATTGTGTTTTTCATTTCACTAACCTAAATATTTGTTATAAGTGAAACACGAACAAAGACTGAGCTGGCAACCCGTCTGCGACCGTCTTAACAAGGAATTCTGTGCTCAGCAAAGAATTGTGATCCAGTGAAGTCTACTAGTCTTCCAGTGTATTTCATTATTCCATTTTCATTCTTGAAGGGAATATACATTAATGTCCGTGAATGAAGAAAATTGTGATGATCGAGTACTTCGTGAGAGTAGTGAACATTAGACCTCCTTGAGGATAATCACACGGGAATTACTTATTCTGCATTAAAAGTTTGAATAAAAAAATAGGAAAAAGAGATTTGATTCACGTCTGAGGAAGATGCGACCGTAATAGCCTAGGGTCTAACAATCGTGAAGTGACGTAAACACCATTGAGACCCAAACGTAATTTAATGCACTAAGCACTATATAGAGAAAGAAAGTAAAATGACCACTTTGTAGTTTCTTTTGCAAGTAGACCAAACTGTATACGGTCATTCGGCTGTTTCAAAGTATTGTTGTCAAGGATACTTAAACAAATACAATCTTCGGTTTAAACACAAATTTAATACATGGCTGAGCATTAAAATATATACATTATTGACCTTGATTGTAGCCAGATAATGGTTGAGACTTCTCGTGAAAAATTAAAACATTATGTAGTTTTAAAAATTATAGAAGTCAACTATGTTGCCTTAAAAACTTTTAGCTGAGTTAGTAAGCGACTCATGGCCACAAATGTTGATTAAAAATTGGCTAATAACCTACATTAGATGCCAACAGGTAATCAACTGTTGTGAAACCGAACATTGAGTTTTTTGTGTGTAGAGTTTTCGTGTGGCTCCTTTCTCCAACGAGACTGAGCGCCGTTGTTTATTTGCTAAGGGCAACGACATAAATAATACATACTACCAGAACTAGTCTAAAAATCGTAGAATCTCGTCCGTTGCAGTTGGATGTGCCGCCAAAACTCCTTTCCCTTCTTACGCAGTAAAGAGGCGGCTCCTGTTCTACCTTTTACGTCTTAAAAAGAACCTACTAGTCATTGGTTCATACGTCGTGGCGCAAATTCAGAATGTTTCGTCAGAATAAATCAATTACATCGCCACCAGAAGACAAAAGTGCCGTTCAATCAATCTATTTGTTATAAGCGATGTTCTATCATTGAATAAAAGTAACAAAACCGACAGTACTAGAATATCGCGAGATCATCAAATAACCAAGTTGTTTGCGGAATATTTAGAAAAATCTTACGTTTCGGTACGCGAGTCCATTATGTGTCACCTTCTCCAATTGTTTGCCGTTCCGGGCAAACAATTGGAATAAAGCGGACAGTTTTAACTATTTGTTTTAATATTAGGTAAACCTGAGTGTCTCATGATAAAAAGAACATGGGTAAGATTGCGTAGCCTATCCGTCTTTAGCCATAATCTTCAGCAAAAGTTTGCGTCGAACTATAGCATAAATCGATGCGCAGATGCTTGTTCACCATGAACTGTTTCATCTGTGTGGTGGTTCTGTGTCAGATTTTGCCATTCAATTACTTTGCGTACGATTATCCATTATTGGTGCCTG